GCACAGCCACTTCCTAGCAGAGGAGAAGCCTCAGCAGGGGGATCCTTAAGGCCAGGGAAGCAATGCAAGCAGGGCAACACCCCCCCCCCCCCCCCCCACCTCGAGCCCCCTCCCCTGAACAGGCCAGTCTCTGCAGAGCACCTGAGGCGGAAGGCCGGTGGTCCGGCCTTGGGCTCAACGCAGGGTGAGAATCAACGCCTCCCAGGCCCCTCTTCCCCAGTGGAAGGACGGCTTTCCACAGCCCAAAACCCCCACTTCCAGACAATTCCCCCCGGCATGACTGGGCACAGTGGGAGCCAACTCTGGGCGTGGAATTTGGGAGGGCCGTGGGGGTGCTCCCACCACCTTGGGGGGGGGGGACCTCCCAGTGCAGGTCGGAGCAGCCCCCTCTGTTTCTGGAGAGCTTTCTTTCCCTGGGGCTGCCTGTTTCTCTCCTTCCTCTGGCTGCCCCCCCCCCCAAAGACCCTTCAGAGCCCCCTTTCCTATCCCCCCCTTCCATGCCCCTTCCCCAACGTACCTCCCCCTCGGAGTTCACCAGGCACGTGTGGATCTGGTCCCCGGTGCCCCAGCTGCCCTGGTTCTTCCAGACCAGCACCGAGGGGGGGCTGTGTGCCACCCCAGCCTCAGCGGCCCAGATCTAGGAAGACAAACACGCTTGGCCCTTGCCCGGCTCTCTCACCCTGGCCAGCCCGCTCAGAGCCTGGCACCAGCCACCCGCTCGACAGTGAGTGCCGGGGGTGGGGGTGGGGGGGGTAGGAGCAGAATCCCCAGAGACCTGAAGGGCTGTAAAAGGCCCCGAAGAAATACGAGGGTTGCGGTGTTGACCCGGCCCCCTTCGGCCACAGGGCCCTCCAAGACTTACCGTCACCGTCTGCCCGGCCCGGAGGACATACTTGGGAGTAAACTTGTAGGCTATCTCCCCTCCCTCCCCAATCTTCCTCTTCAGCTTCCAGCTCCCGAGGGACTGGTCCTGTGGAGGGAGGGGGCGTTTCAGGCTCCTGCCCAAGAAGCGGAGCCATGAAGGGGGGGCGGGGGTGCAGCCCGGTGGGGTCGGGGGAGCGCCTACCTTGTCAGAATGGTTCTTCAGCTGGACAAACATCCCCTCGGGGTCCACCCCCTCGATGCTGATGCTGCCCTTGGCCGAGGCCTGCTGGCTGACCTGGAGGTTGCTGCCAGTGCTTGCCCCCCCGCGGGCGCTCCCACTGGGCGTCTGCCCTGGCAGCTCCTCGGCCTCTGCCCGCTTCCTCTTGCTCCGCAAAGACCGAGTGCCCGAGATGCTGGAGGAGGAGGCGGCCCGGGAGACGGTGAGGCGGGACGGAGGGCTGGGGGACAGCTTGAGCCTGGCGGGGAAGCAGGAACTGTCATGCCTGGCCAAGGAGGGGGCCCTGGGACCCCGGCCTTTCTCCCACCAACCTCTCTGGGCCCAGGGGACGCCCACCTCTCCTCTTCCCCCTCCAGCAGCTTCCGGTACGCGCTGATCTCCATGTCCAGGGCCAGCTTGACGTCCAGGAGCTCCTGGTACTCCATCAGCTGCTGCTGCATCTGCTCCCGCATGTCCGTCATCTCCCGCTCTTTGGCGTCCAGCAGCTTCCGCAGCTTCTCCTGCTCTCCGGCCATCAGCTCCTCCAGGTCCCTCATCCGCTCCTCCGCTGTGCTCACCTGAACCCGTGGGGGGGGCGCGAGGAGACACTCTTAGGGGCCCCCACTTTCCTCTTGCGGGGCGCCCGGAGGCTGCTCCCCAGAGCGACCCTCCTGNACCAGGAAGGCAAAGTAGCTGCCCAGCTGCAGCCAGCTTGCAAGAAGCATGCAGGTCGTCCTTGGTCTGTTTCCTTTTTATCCCATTTGCCGTTTATCCCCCCTCCTCTTTTTTCTGGTTCTGGTTGTTGTTTGAGCTTCTGTGCTGGGCGGATGGCACATAGATAAATAAATGTTGACCACAAGCTGCACCGGATGGCGATTTCCCAGGAAGAAGACCCCTGGAGCCCAGGGAAGACTGGGGGCCACTGCCCAGCACTGGGGCTCCTCCCACCCCCCCACCCCCGAGTCTTTGCCACCTACTCAGTTTGAGGTCACGGTGGATGATCCCTTGCAGGTGGAGGTACTGCAGGCCACTTGCAATTTGCTTCAGGTAAAACCGCACCTCTGGCTCCGTCAGCGTCCTCCGGACCTTCAGAATGTGGCCCAGGGACTAGAAGGAAGAGATGGGCTGAGGAGGAGGAGGGGGCTCACGCAAGGGGCAGGAGGGTCTCCCCATAGGAAGGACAGCGTTCTGTGCCTCAGGCAACCCCGCGCTGTTAAGGCTTCTGACCACCACACGGTCCTTTGGGCAGCGGCGGCTGCTTCCCTGATCTCAGGCCGGGCTCTGCTTCCGAGCTCCCCAAGGCCTTTCTTGTCCTGACCTCTCCGGCCTCTTGTGAGATTGTATAAAACAGCGCAAGCAAACCCTGCAGCAGCTGCCCAGGCTGGCAGCCTGCTCCTCCCTCTGGAAGCTCCTGCCCAGTTTCCCCTGGGAGGGAGAGAAAGGAGGCCCCCCTCCCCTTCTAACCTTCCTACTGCAGTATTCCAGCACCAGGTAGATGTTCTCCTGGTCTGCGAAATGTCGGCGGAACCCCACAATGTTCCTGTGGTGAAGCCGGCTGTGCAGCTCAATTTCGCGTTGAACCTGCAAAGCCAAGTCATAAGCCTACACACACGTGTGCACACGTGCGCAAGAGCAGAAGTGCTAGAATCAGCTGAAACCCAGCACACCTGGGGAGGAGACCCACAGAAGCTGTCCAAGGTCGTTACCCGAAGGAAGGAAGGAAGGAAGGAAGGAAGGAAGGAAGGAAG